AACTGTGAATCCAGAAATTAAGAATTGAATAACATACCATCTACATAATTAAAAGAACATCTATCTTAAAATACCTATGTTTTACTGAAATATTCAATTAAATCATTACTAATAGTTAGTGTGTATTTGTTTGCTCATTTGACGATATCTAAAATGTAGTAAATGTAAGCTGCATGCAATTAAAAGAAAGCTCACAGAATGAAGAATAAGTTGCCAGTATGTACCTTGACATATATCTGAGTGCATACACACATTTCATCTATCTGTAGAAGAAACGCACGTGGTATCTGCTTGGAGGAACAAAAAATAAATGTTTACTTGATAAATTTTTGCGGTTTTGAATATGCCAGAGGTTAAAAAATGATTTCGTTTGAAAGCATGTAAAACAGCCATCATTTAAAGAATATTTTATTTTATTTTTTCATGTTTGAACATAAGTGTTGTAGTAATAATAACTTGAACACAAATTTTATCAAAATGAAATTGTAAGTCAGCTGATAAACAATGTTTCAATGTCAAAGAACGGGATGTTTTGAGGGCCTAATTTAGATGCGAAATAACAGCTTTGAATTATATAATAGCAAGTTAATATGACAAGTCTTGGTACACTATTGTCGCATATTGAAGTAGTACTGATCCGAAATTAATGAAATTAACATTTACAAAAACAATTTTCATTTAATCTCACTGTTGCATGTACATTATAAAACATACATTACATAACCTGATGCAATGCCAATTCATATAGAATTATAAGAGATGTTTTTGAGAAACAGAACAATTTACATAATCTATGCATAATACTGAAATGCCATTTAAGAAACACTTACAGAAACATTACAAGTATAACATATAAAATTTGCAAAGAATTCTGTTTTAAAGACATAATAAATAGCATAGGAAGAAAATCATAATGACATATACTAAACAACGGTTACATGAAACTTTGCATAAATGTTCATAACATTTGTCATAGAACGGTATGATATGATTCTTGACTTAGAAAAAGAAATACCGTTGATGATTCCAAGGTTTTCAGCCGATTAATCAAACAGATTGTGACATAGATATTTTGACATTTAGTGATCTTGCAAGTTAATTGTTTTAATAGTTCAATTCTCCTTTGAATCGTTATTTGGTTTACAATCTGCAATTATATTAACTCTGGAATGAAGATTTTGCACACAGCGCAGATTTATGACCTACGTTACACGACCACATGCATGAATTTTCTATTATCATCAGATAGAGAGAAATATTTTAACAAATGGAAACAATCGGTGATAAAGGTGAGCTATCATATAAATACACAATACTGATCTTAATTCGTAAGGACAAAACTGTTACAAGAGATCGTCATTGAATCATAAACAGGCGTTTCATGTACAAATCGACATATTGTTACAACCTATTAGCGATAACATGTACCAATTAAATAATTTTACTGCAATCAGAGGTCTATATAACTGGTATATAAGTTGTCATAGAAAATTATTCTGTATACACTTTTGATGATGTCCATAATTTGCGTGGGGCGACCAATGCTCAATGAATAATTCATAACTTGTGAATTTTCGTTTCAATTTAAAGACGTTCAATAATAAACCAATGTGGTCGACTATAACTATTGTATCTGACGATCATATCATCATCTCGCATGTCACGTAATATTTATTCATAAAGAACACATCAATCAAGAGCTATTGAAAATATTTACATTGACAGTTTTGTAAATGCGTTTAAATATTTTGAAATAGAGAAAATTTAACTGAACACGGTTTTATTAAACAAAAAAAGGGAAACATATTACTTCCAGTAGCTTCTTTTTAGTGTCATTGAACATGTTATTTATTAACGAAATAATTCAAGTTTAAAACAATAGAAATTTAAAGGCTTTGCTTTAGGTTCCTATAAACATATACACGTAGGCAGAATCAAAGAAACAGTTTCTGCAAGGACTAAAATAGGGATCATCAAATTATTTTTAGTTATCTGCCCTTGAATTAAAAATATTTCTAAGGCAGATATTTTTATTAAAACATACATGACGTTAGTTAGTCTCACTTTCATGTACCTTACTTTCGGGTGATGGTGCAAACGTTCAAGAATTTGTAAAATAGTTCTTTACCTCAGCCTAAATATTTACCTCTATAATAATGGTCCATTTGTTTAGAACTGTCAGTCTTTTGATTAACTTAAACTGCAAAAGGGAACAAAAATGTTTAAAGGAATAAAACAAAATATATTTTGTATATTATTGTTTTCAGGGATAAAATGAGAATGTCTGATAGTATTTTTTTCATATCAGTTATCACCCCTTGCAATACACTAAACAGGGACAGATTAATTGAAAAACGAGGTCCGTGACTTCGATTTTTAAATGTGTCGTTTATGTTATACTATTTCATGTTTTATTATATATTGCAATGTTTATACAATTTTTATTCTGTCTTTATATATGAACTATATGTAAACTACAGAATGCGCTTTTAAGGATACGATGTGAAGATTAGAAAAACTAGTTGAAGATTATGTAAAATTTTCATTCATGGATCATGCATAATTTTGAATATACAGTGTATGTCAAACAAAAACAACCAAAGAAAAAATAAATAGAAGTTATGTTATCTCGTTTCATTTGCTTTTCAAAAAACCCTGCATACAGCATAACTCAAAGAAAAGCAAAAAGAGAAATATAATTAATCTTAAGGAATTGTTTTCAACATGAGAAACGATATCTTCTTACATTTGACAAGAAAAAAAACATATTTAGTCTCAACAAAACTTTGTTACTTTACTGAGCCAGTGGCTGCCAACTTTGAAGTAAGAACTAACTTCCTGTATACAAGCGTACTTTTTCAATATATCATGCTGTTATTTTTTCTGTATAGAAAGAAGCATTCAGAACATCACTTGATTTCTAGTTTACTTTGGAAAGGATAGTAATATTTATATATGTGTTGCAAAAATGATTTACTTGAAGCGTCAATATAAAAGTCAACATATTGAAATAGTAAATGTGCATCATGTACTTAGTGTCTAACAGTAACGATAATCGGGTATAAAAATAAAAAGGAATACCAAAAGTATAACTAAATTTGTTCAAATACGAGAATAGAAAATGATGGAGAAAATGATGTTGGACGGGAAAAATACTTTTGACATAAGAATTCTCTCACAATTTCTTTTATAACTGTATGACATTGTTTGATAAGGCATTATAGTTTGTACCTACATGTGTTACCAGACAATGTTTGCAACCTTTAACCTATCGCTGTATTAAGATATTTTATAGTACAATCAAATGCTAAAGAAATGACATTTTTTATACTAGTGTGTAATAATGCTTGCTTTTGCTAAATAATTTATATTGGTTCTTTCATAATTGATACATTCACGTCTGTTTCTTACAGCAAGATCTATTAATATACGTATATATGATAGTCTATTCACAAGAAGATGAAATTGTAGTAATGACCCTTTGGCTTTTGGTCATAGTTCTTAATAAATGACACATAGAATTTCTGTAACAGGACATGACATAAAGAACTGAGGCAATATCTGTTAGTGCTTTTACCACGTTATTTAAGCTTTTACAACAAGAATCGTTGGTGTAGGTGGAACAATTGTACAAACGAAACTGACATTTGATATAAAGCAATGTGAAATAGATAGTAATATTACTTGTTGGAAATTGATAAGCTTTGTGAAATATATATTGTTTATTAATTGTTTCCAGAGCGGTTTCTAAAATCTTATATAAAACTTGTACATATATTCACAAGAATACTAAAAAACATATAGATATAGATATCTAATTCGTTCACAATGATTGGCCATTTCATTATATACAAAGATAACATTAATCATGATATGCTATAGTGAACATTATTTTCTATCAAGGAATAACAATTATACTCAAAATAACAAATATTACTATTTACCCAAAGGCAAAAGCCATACTTAGCGGTAGAATGTAAGATTTTGGTAGAATATTGCTCAACTGAGAAATAACTACATGTTACTCTTACACGGCGTGATACCGATATCTATAAGGGATCGGACGGGCAAGATAAGTTACAATTGGAATATATATAATCTGGTTGTATACTATTTCATAGTTTCGGCAGTTCAAATTATTATTCATTTGCTTTCCTATTTGTTCTATCACATTTAAATTTTATTCGAATTATCTTTTTTGCCAACATAAGTGTAATTCTTTTGTGGCATAATCTACACTAGGCTGTCTATAACATTATCTTCAGTCTAGTGTTCTGCTTTCGATTATCGGTGCAGAATCTTTCACAATGGGGAGTATCTACATATAAAAATATAAGAAAGTTTAATCCACTTTTCCAGCTTTTATTTAATTTGTAAACACATATAGTTATTTATCAGGCAGAATGATCTATTATAAACATAATATTTAATTCTAACATATCAAAAAAGTAAGTTTTACATTCATTTACTTGAATTGCTGATTAGACAAAAATAGATAATATTCAAATATTAAGTTACATCTTGTTACCTGAAATTTTTTTACAATGTTTTTAACAAAATTATATTTTCAAGTATTCAAAATAAGAACAGCTTAGTGTTCTGAACTAAATTTTAGTCATTTAATATCAAACATTTACAAAATGTACATAGAATAAAAAAAACAACAATGATTTCATAACAGATGTCAAATTTATAATTATGTAACCGGAAGATTAAATATGGCTTTTCCTCTTTGTCCAATCAATTGTGCTAAAAGTTTTATTATATATAGGTGATAAAGTCAATTAAGCTGTCTGTACTTAATAAATTGTTAAACTTTATGACTGATAAAATGTCCAGGTGATGATTGTTGTTATAAATTCTATGTTGCTAAGTTACATTATTTTGTATTGTAACCTGATTGACCATTTTATTATTTAAGAAACATGTTAAAATGTTATTGGACAGTTTAAAACGATACCAATTTTAGAAATATTCTAACGATAGAAAATTAGGACAGTTAGACTTTGGATTTCCAAGCGATAACATTGTGGCTTTCCACTAGAAATATTTGTTACTGTTTTAATATCTATATTTGTTAAAGTCAGGATAACCTGTGCATATTTTATATATCATTTGTGGTATTCAACTGAGAAAGAAACATTAAAATATAAAACGGAACATTGTGTTGCGATTCAATCCATCTACAGTAGAACTGTAAAGATCAGCGAATAAAACTAGCACAAAAAGGCAGAACACAACCACTTGACTTTGAACGCCTTAACAACCACAATGGAGAATAAAAAGTATCTTAAATCGCTATGATATGATATATTATATCCGTAAGATTGTCGGTATCTCAGGGTATTTTACATGTGAATACGTAAAGTATATAATGTTTCAAAAGATATATAAGACACTCGTAGAACTAACCTATCGTATTACCGCATAGTATCAAAATATGCTCAGCATGCGAAAGCTATTTAAAGATAGACACGTGACATCTGTTCGATGGAACTTTTATTGATGATGCAGAGATTCTGTCTTTAGAAAATAAACGAACTTTCTTGTTGATAGGACCTATGTGAACTTGAACAAAGTATAAAAAAAAAAAATGTGGACTTCAAGATTGCTTGCATTATGTCAAATATGTATGTTATTGGATACAACATTTTGTAGAACAATAAAACGGGTAAGATTTCTTTAAGATACCAGTGGATAAATAATTAAATATATTTGTATATATACACGTATATGAATATGTTGATAAAATATTGATATAAATATTGATATAGTTTAAATCAATTACAACGCCGTGGTATTTATGTTATTTTCGATATCTCTTTCGAATCTATACTTCGAAGTGTCTTGTCAAGTTGAATAGAATCAATTAATATTAAGAGACTTGATTTGTAAAAAAAAACAACAGCAAATTAAATTTGAATCTTTTAAAAAAATATGCCAATTTAGCAGATGAATTTATTACTTATACTGCAAGTGTACTCGTAAAGCCTTGTTTTGTATTCAGAAGAAAAAATATTGTTTTATCATTGTAATACTACTGTGTAATTCTCTCGAGGAAAATATTCATATGTTATATTAAATCTGCCGTAGAAGCGCCATTTCATCTTAAAAATTTCAGATTGATCATGTTAGAACCTGGACGCTGATTTATTTACGTTGATAGATAAATAAATGTTATCACATATAATTAAAATACAGATTTTCAGGTATTCAAGAAAATATTCGCCAAAACTGGATTAGCATAGACATGAAAATATATTTCAACGATTTAAAAATTGTCCTGAACTCTGGTGTAAAAATTCTAAGTAACAGCAATTAGGGGACAAAGCATCCGATAATCTGAATTATATTCATTTTCTGATTTTTGTATAGCAAAACATGAATGTATCAACACAAGACCATTTCAAACATATATGTTGACTGTAAAAGGTGAAATGATTAATAATATGGAAAGCAAACTAATATATATACCCATCTTGATATGCATGCATATGTTAATTTTGTTGACAAGTTTGTTAAAGTATGGTTGTTTGGAATTGTATAACTTTCTACAAAATATCTCCAAAAATCAAAGAGTATGATACTTGTGCGGCAGCCACCTCATGGGTCGGCATAGTTACGATGCTTGTTTACTTAACTATGAACAGAACAGTTCATTAACAAAGAGTGAATAACCGAATGGTTTTTATTAGTTCAACTACAGTGGTCCGACGCACCTATTGTATTATCACATATCTCATGAGCTAAAAAAAAACTCACGCAAATATGATTAAAGTGTGTGTACACTGATAATTTACTTGTTCTACAATCAATTCTTTTGGAGTAATAATGCCAATCCTTATTTTTTGGCCAATAAATATTTCTGTCACTACTATTCACAAGAACAAGAGAAATTAATATTATATTATAAACTGGGGATAATTTGAAGCAATACTTCCTAATCCTATGCTTAGTTACATTCTGTACAATATGCAATTAAGAAAGGTGGCAACTTCCTTCATTTAAAGCAGTTGCTAGACATATAAAATGTACTGAACTACTAGTATACAGGCATGATTTATCTAGTTTTAGACTAGTTCTTTTGACAGATAAAGTTTTCCTTTCAAAAACAGATTCTTATGATTAGTATTCAATTTTAATTACATTAATCACGATCCCCGGATCCGGATGGAGAAACTTCAATATCAAGAACGTTGTTGCAATCGGTGCTTTCCATTCATGACATCTATCTTTATCACTCTCTAATACATCGTTTATCAACATCTTAATCGAGATTTTTTAATCAACCATGACTTATTTTAACCCCATTGTACTCCTCCCAGTACAAGTATAAGGCCCAATCAACTTTTGTCATTTTCTTATCATATTCTGAAATATCGTCCAAGAACTGTATTTAAACACTTGAACAGCTTTAAGGATGTATCATAAAAAAAACTAAGATAATTTATTTGTTCCCTTTGTTCTTAAAAGCTGCCAGTTAAATCTTAAATGAAACGGATATAAGTTTAATGTTATTATAACATTGTAACCAATTTAAGATTTCTATAATATTCTTTTTCCAATGTTCATGGATGGCAGTTTCCAGATCTATTGAAAAAATCTTGTTTATATGACCGTTTGAAACATTAAGTATTACTGAGCACTAATAAACAGCTGCGTCGCATGAAATGTGAGCTGAGCGTAAAACGTATTGTAAACTGGTTAAAAAAATAAATGGGTAATATCCAAGCAATAAATTTGATCATTATCCACGTACAATTAGCGATTTTCGATTATCAAACGATCATTCTTAATTTCATCATATAATAAAAGAACAATGAAATTCCCGATTCGGAAAAGCTTACACTGTTAACCTGTAAAGACCGATGCTTTATTACAAAAACATCCTATAGAAAACTTGCCCTTGTCAACCATTTGTATTCATAAAAGTAAGACAATAGTTCATTTGTTTTCTGGTATGACGTAAAACACACGCCCATTACGTCATGGTAAAAGTTCTGGTGACATTGCTTGCAATACATTATTACAACCATTGGAGCATTTGTGCTTATTTTAATTTTGTTCATAGTCACAAAAAAGCAGAAATGATATGAACGAGGTACAGTTCAAGTTCAGTATATTCTTACATTACATTTTCATTTTTTTTTAAATAAAGCAATGCTAAAATAATGATTCCTACTTTCGAATGAAACAACGAGTACTGCAGAAGTTTGATAAGTGAAGTATGATTTAAGACAATGTACATCATTAGCATACGATTATTATTTTTGTCACGTGTGGAAGAAGAATGACTTCAGTAAAAACTTTATTGTGTATCAGCCTCTTTTCCTATGGAGGGCAACTGTGACAGGCAACTAGCAACAGGCAATATTATTCAATATTAATAGAAAAAGTAACATTTTCGTTTTGCTTTCAGTATCATAATATTTTGCGTCAACGTACTTGAAAAAAAAGATCATGTGAAAAAAGATAGAAATGTCATCATTTCCTGCATGTCCAATCATATCAGTTGTTGATTAAGATAGAAGGTGATAAATATGGTCGCTGTATTGAACTGAGAAAGAATGGCATTCTAATTAATAGTTCCTATACAAATTGCCCGCAAGTTCAATCACCATGACAAGAAAAAGCCATTAGAACAAACACACTTGCTTGACGTCCAAAGAATGAAAAATGTACATTGTATTTTTAAACATTTTTTTTTGTGTTGAAGATAGAACTGTAAACATGATCATTACTTTACCTGATTGCCCTTCAAGCAGCTGCCTCTTTAGATATATGAGCAAAAATAATTGAAAATGGTTTTGTTAAAACATTGTAATATCCGTTCGTAATCTAATGAAATATGATATTTATCTATTCAAATTTACGAATTTACAAATGTCATGTTGTTTGCAAATGTTCAGTTTTACGAAACAAAGTAAGTGTATGTATTTGGTGCTCTTACACATGTGCAATATTTGAAATAAGATATATTGCAGGATCTTCCTATCCTGTAAAGTGTTAATTTGGTAAGATAGACAAACGTATAAATGATATGACACGAGCAAACTTAATGAGTTTATTTAAATATTTTTTCTCCTCAATCTAGTTTTGTTTAAAAAAAACTTTAACTTATCTCAAATGAATATCAGTGGTCTTTCTTTCATAGGCAGTGTATTTCTATTGTAGGACCTGATGTAAACATAAAGGATCTTGCAATTAAAGTCTTGTTACATGCAATATACACGATTTTAGAGTTCTTTTTCTCTAATTTCTTTTATAAATAGTCGCCAAATATGTACCAAGAAGTGTCTGAAGAAATACATTTTCACATATGATTATTTTTTCATACTACAATATTCAAGTTTGATTTGATATACAGTATATCATATAGCCATTTCCATTGCAATGAATCATTTCTGCTATTAAATTTTACTTTAAGTCAAGAAATACTTTATGATTATTTTACATTCTAGGTATGGAAATAAGCCTTCGGGCTTTCATGGGCAATCCTAGGTTATTGCACACTACTTTATACATGCTTCCACTTACGTCCTAACATTATCATTAACTAGTAAATTGATATCTAGTCATAGGAAAGAAAGATAAATTTGGTATTGTCTGAAAAGTAATTTTTTAGATTTTGTTCTTTATTATTATTTTTTATTATTTAATGAGCCTCCTGTGATATTTATGTTTGACAAACTTCCGAAATATTTTATTATGTGTTCTAACTTTTATATAAAATGCATAAGTGTTTGTATTATGTATATGTGTGTTTTAACCTGAATAAATATTTATCTACCAGTATTTTGTTAACACAAATGTTTGATTTATACGTATTATTATGATATTTCAATACCCCATTTACTGTAAAAAACATACGTTTAAAACAAACTGTATATTTGACTAAGAAATTGTTATATTTTGTTATATACATATATTATGTCCAGTAGCAATGTTTTGCTGTGACAAAGAAATTGATATGGAAATGATAAGGCTAAATATATCAAAATAAATACTTGATGCTACATTCTGCAAGTGCTTCAATTAACTTCTGGAAAAGTACACGCTCAAGTTGTTATTTGTGATTTAATTAGGCAATAAGTAAAGACTTTATAGTAAATAACTTCTTAAATGTTTGAACACATGGGATCTACAAAATCAGTTTAAAATTTAATTTGAAATAATATCTATTTCATTTACTGTGCTCGAGTAACAACAACTCAGATCTTGTAAAAAATACTAGGTAATATTGTCTATGTCAATGATGTGACACATCAAAGGATGTAAGACAAAAACACATGTGTGAGATACTTTTCGATCTATTAAATTTCACATTTTTAACTTTGATATACTCTCCATGTCACACATGTGGTTGTAATAATTAAAAAAGACAGATTCAGAGTCTAATGTTTAAAGCATAAGCATTTGTGTCACGAAACAATATCTGTAGATGAAGATTTGTGTTTCATCATACTTTTGAATTACCAAGGGAAATTTTAAAAAAGGAAAGACGAGTTTATCGTGGCAGTCTTAACTCACAAGCATTCATCAACGTAAGCCGAATAAGAGCTTAAGTGTAATTGAAACATGGAGCTTATAAATAAACAGAACAGATCTCTGTATAAAATACTAAACGTAATTATAAAAAAGATAGTTACTAATCAAAGACTAAGCACGATATAGCCTATAGCCATATTTATATTTATTTCATTTTATTGGGGCTAAACCCTGATTATTTGAATACAAAGACCTTCAATATACATGTAGTTGATAAAAAATCAAATCGTGGAGACAAAAAAGAGGATTTGTATTGTCAAGCTGTCTTAAGTCCGGCGTAACGCTATAAGGGCAATTTTCATAAGCGAATTGATGTAATTTTTGATGTTAATAATTTCGAATTTATCTATGTTAGGTAAAAATAAACAAATAATAAATAAATAAATAAATTTGTATCTGAAATTACCAATGTTTTAATCTTTTATGGATAATTTTAGAATGTGAACTCGTCACCAAATGATGACTACCACTGTAGCTCACCACTTGGCATTGCCAGGGATTCTATAAATATCCAGGTTGGTTTTACCGTCAGTTCCCGAGACGATTCTCGGCCAACATTTGATGGTATCGGACCCCGAGAACAACATGCAGATGATCAGATGACATTAGATACAAATACACTTCATGACAGGTCTTATATTCAGGTAAATAGTGTAGCAGTACAACGATAGACTTTAATAAAATATTTACGTTAGTATAAATATTCTTTATTTTCTACTAAATATCGTATTTCACCTTAAACAGATGTATGTGCGTATGGAGGGCAGCAAATAAACCTGTAAGAAAGAAACATGTGCATACTTTTATTCGTTTAAAATTAATAAAACTTTTAAATGTATAATACAGGTTGAATTCGAGCGTCCAATGCTGGTAACAGGTTATTATTACACAAGGGAGCCCAAACTCCATTTCAAGGGTTGACGCATTACCGTGTACTGCATAGTGAGGACTGTATCCCAATTCATACCAATTACAGACAATGAAGGAACAGTGTGGTAATACGAAGTTTCTTGACATCTGTTTTTTTTTAAATTCTTGTTCAGTTGATGCCTGAATTCACTATAGAGCGATAACCCAACATCTACTGTGTAAAGAATCACCAATTTTGTAAGGTCAATGAAAAATACAGAATTGATAAGTGGCCGTAAGCAATAGTTACTTTTAGGAATCATCATGTCACATCTCTTTAATCCTTATACATCCTCATGGAATAACCGCTTGATGAAACCACTTCATATTAATAAATTCCACTAAATTATTTAAAAGACAATACCATGGTTATCAACCAAAGCCATTATATACACATATATTCGAAATAATTATCAATCGGTATTTCAACTAAGAGGTTAATGTATAGTTCAACCGACGGCACTATATTCTGGAACTATGAAGTCTCAAATTTTTTTATTTCACTCAATTTTCGAAGAGTTCCCCATAAAAAAAGAACGCTTTTGAAATTGGTACAGGTCTATCTGTTGTCATACTGCAATATTAGTCCTTCTTGTATGGCAATGTTTATACACGTATCTATTTCACAAGTTACCATGTTATAATTTATAATGTTTAAATGCATACAAATCAAAGAAGAAAAAGATAAATAAAGCATTTTATAATGAGTCTTATTTGACGTTTCCCAAAACTATAATTTCCTTGTATATGATAATTGTGATATTGTCTTTGATTTTACAGGAATTTGTTGGGAACTTGTACGTCAATTCGACAAATACTGTCGTATTTGACGATGCAGTATTTGCAAGGTGTGTTAGGGTTGTACCTACTAGAAGGGTCGGTGATGATACCTCAATGAGATTTGAGCTTCTAGGCTGTGGTAAGACATGCATACTTTCAAATACTTTAAAGTTTAAAACAACATTTTGTCAACTGTTTGCTTATTGTCTTTTTGTGTCATGCCGAAAACATATCCTTGAAAAAAAATCAATAAAACAAGCAAAACAAAATGGAACACCTTTTCGGACTTATATTAGTTTCATCTTTAAATATGAATGCAATATATTCTTACCGTGCTTAAATATTATTTGCGCAAATATCTTAGAATTGAAATATGCATTTTGTAGCATACATGCAAAGATGTAACAAAAACTTGCAAAAGGGGGTGGTGAAAGTCCTCATTAACTTTTGTATTAATTTACAGATTATCCAGATTCCGGTATCTGTTAAATAAGCTAGTAGAATAATCATTGATTTTTTATAAGCGGATGTCATTTATAATTGTTAATAGATAGAAGCTCGTGTCAGGTGGAACTGGCAACTCTGTTGTTAGAGGAACAAGACACGTGGAAGAAGTTCATGTTTGATAAAGAAAAGATCGTGTCCTCTGTGAAGATATCAATGAATCAGAACGACGTTACCGGTATTCCTGTATTCGCAATGGCAGCGAGTAGAAATTGTAACTTTGGTCCCAACGATAGACTAGAATACAATGGGAAAACAAAAGTAAGATCATCACTGTCAAACAATCACTGGAAAGCTAAAATAGTCTCCTTTATCCCGTGTTAATATATTAACGTATCCCTATATTATTTCGATATTATAATTATTGTGATGTCTATATACGTATTAACCTAAATTTGTCCATTAATCTGTGTAATAGCTATTCAATATATTCAACATACATAACTAGTATATTATTTACAATACCACTAATATGTAATAATAATATTGAAATTTCAAAAATCGATAAAGTAATAAGATAACAAAAATACATTGTCTTTACTTGGATTTTATTACATATCTTATTTAGTTAATTTTTTTATACTATTATACATATTATTTAAGTTACTTACATTACTTTTCTTATTTAGGGTTTTTTTCTAATTTGAGCGGGAAAAAGCGAGTGCTGATTTGACGGGTGACTCCCCTTTCCCCAAACCGAAACCTTTTTGTTTCGCCCGGTGTATAGGGCCCCAACCCCCAATCATATAGCTTTTTCCCCGACGTTCATATTGGAGATGTTTTAAGTTTGACCAAAATGAAAAATTGGGTAAATCCAAAACAGTTTTCACCCTGGGCGTTCTACGGCTTTGGGGAAACTTCCCTTAAAACATAATAAAAGTTTCAAAAAAATAACAAAGTTTTTTTGTTCATTTTTGAAATAATTTTTTTAAAAAAAATTTTAGAAGTGCATCTGGGGAAAAAAGGGTTGGGCATGTAACCCCCCCAGTGAAAATGTTTTAGTGAAATAAACTTTAGATAGTTGTTCAAATGGTCTATCACTACAGTGGAAAATTTGGGGATGATAGGGGAAGTCACTATGCCCCCATTGTTGAAACGTTTCTGTTGTCCAAAGGGGAAAATTTTTGATCAAAAACGAGTTTGACTGGGGAAAAAACCAAATCACAAATTTTTCTTTTAATTTAATAAAATTATTTTTTGAAGTCTGAGCTATATTTAACTGTTTAAAAACGTCACTGTATCCGTCTTTTACAAAAGTATACTTATTTTCCAGCGCCCATTTCCCAGTGCTTTAAAATGTATATTTGATTTAGTGACAAAACCTTAAAATCTTCATTTCAAATTTTTGAGCCGAGTGATTGCACTAGAACATTACCGCAGTTTAACATAAATAATAAAACATTATTTCGAAACAAAATGTGCACAATCTGTCACATAAGAAATATTGTTATTTTTTCATGTAATCATCAGCTTATGTTATAGGTTATGCGTAAAGATGTTATATTTGAAACATTCCATAGAACATTATCAGATTGTGTTTGATTTCAAACTATTTTTAATTTTCAGATGCTTTGGATACTCATGGTAAGATATATATATATATATTTTGAGATTAATGCAATATAAGTTGACAGCAAATAATATGGCGTAATGTTTTTTTATCGTCAAAATATTATATGAAGATTAGTTATAAGCAGCTTATAACTTGCTTGAGTAAAATAGAATCCTGTCACATCCCATTGTACATTACGTATGACTTATAATTACAATAGAAATAACAACTCTTTACATGTATACATACATATAAGTACACCTACTTCCCACTTGCCCTTCACCGCTGTGGGTTCGAATCCCGACAGGGACTTTGGATTCTTTCATGTGAAAGCTACCAAGCTAGCTTACGGAACGTCGGTGGTTCTACTCAGGTGCCCGTTCGTGCCTGCAATAATGCACAGGTCTTCCTCCACCAGTAAAGGTGGGACGTCGCGATATGACCTATACTGTGTCGATGTGACGTAAAACCCAAACAAACAAAAACAACTACTTCCTGTATTATTAAACGCTATAATGATTATTGACGTCTTGAAAGAAACATTCAGAACATCTTGTCAAAAATGAAGACAAAAGCGACATTGTTAATGCGACGATTAGGAGAAAACGTTGAAATTCCCAAATAACACTTTAATGACATGTATACAATAACCATGTCTGTCAACTGTCATTTCTAATAATTTACTAAACATATATTGAAATAGACTCAATATATTTGTAGTCATTTCAAATTAAACGAGAACGTTTCCTTAAAAAATCATATTTGATAAAAAGCTATAGATCTTAGTTTAATAATATTTTATATAATAAATATATACGCAGTATATAATTTCATAATTTTACAAAAATAATCAAGTGTACATACAAAAGGGTCGGGCCAAAAGTTCGACGGGCCTTCCCTGAGCTATAGATCTTTTTTTATATTTCTCTTTATTGTACAGTGCAAACAATAATTCCAGAAATAATACAAGGTGTGTAAAGAAATACTATAAAATTTGATATAATAACAGTGTCCTGAAATAATACACACAAATTCATACATTTGCAAAGCACTATACATGTATGTATTTTCTTATTATATTTTTTTAAAGGCAAAGTTGACTTTGCACAACGTTCAATGATTTAAGCTACAGTCTCACTTACATCCCGGCAAAGCCCCGGTAGACGTCCGGGGTACGACCGAGAACAACCGGTAACTCTGCCGGCAACGTCCGGGATAATCCGGGATCATCCGGCATTCGACCCCGGATGGAAAAAAATATCTAATATCACCGGGGTGGTCCGGGATGGTCCGGGAAGGTATAGCTTTGCCGGCTTCATCCTTAGCTCTGCCGGGAACGACCGGGGCTATACCGGGGAAGCACCGTAGCTCTGCCGGCACAAACCGGGGATGATCCGGGGTATGATATAGCCGGTAGAGCTACGGTAGAGTTACGGTATAACCCTGGGATATGCCGGCAGAGCTCCGGTAACTACAGGAAGAGCCCCGGAGGATAAAGGTAGAGCTACGGTTGATCCCGGTAGAGCCCAGGCAAAGCCCGGATCATTTCAAAAGAATAACGACAATTTGCGATGATTGCACTAGTTTGTATTAAAACCCTTCCCATTTCCCTTCTATCCAGTATGACATAATGATTTTTCAGAAAATCATCATGAATTACTATTCTGGAACAATAGATACTATATTAAATAAAAATTATATATCAATGTTATCATTTTCGGGCGTTTTCAATCCACCGGGGTTCTACCGGGGCTCTGCCTGGATCGTCCTGGGCTCTGCCGGGGCTCTGCCTGGATAGCCGGGGCTCTGCCTGGGTCAACCGGGGCTCTTCCGGCGTCATCCGGGAACGACCGAGGAAGCACCGGCATGAACCGTAGCTTCACCTGGGCTCTTCCTGGGTGATCCGGAGCGCATCCTGGGCGGTTAGTTGGGAACTACCGTAGTGATGCCGAGGTAAGTGTGACCGCAACAATAATTTCACCCCGGATCGTCCCGGATCATCCCGGTTACTTACCGGGATGGTCCTGGGCTCTGCCGGGAGTAAGTGAGACCACAGCTTTAAGAGTTAAGTAACATAACAACGTACAATAAGCAAGTGTCAAAATTTTCTTACAGTTAATAATGCTAGACACTTTCGTTTTCATTGACTTATTTTATGTATTCTTTCCATACATCCTGTATTGCTTCAAACCTAAGCATCTTTTTGGCATTGATTATTTCTGTTTTAACCAAAATATAGTAATTGATTTTTTAAAGCCTCTAAGCTTGGCAAAACGGACTTTTACATTTGTAAATATAATGTTTTAATAATGATAATTTATAATTATCTGGAACTGCGAAACTGGAACAGCCGAAAATGACAGATTGTTCTGAAAAATTAAAAGATGTATTTGGAATTTTGTTTGTTAACCAGACCTGCACGTAAAGAGCTCTAAGATCTAGTATTGTGAAATAAATTAAATTTTTCGTAAGAAAAACATGCTTATTCTTCTATTGTTTTCTTTTCTCTCATTAAGACGCTCTTGACTCGTGTGGTAAGACGAGAGTTGCTGCCCGCCATACTGATCGCCGGAAACGTGTCGTTGGTGGAGATGCGTCACTTCCGGGAGAATGGCCTTGGCTAGTGTCGTTGCATTTTATGGCTTCTCACGAATTTACAGACAATTCAGGACTGCCTCATTTATGCGGGGGCTCCCTTATACACCCACAATGGGTGGTGTCAGCAGCTCACTGTTTTGAGTAAGCATTATTCTTAACATTGGAAAACTCTATAGCCGCATTTATCAGTTCGTACATCAATATGACGCGCACAATTAATGTTGAACAATTTCTGTGAAATAACAGCTTAAAATTTCAAGATTTGTATTCATTCATCAGGCATATAGAACACATTTCATGTGAACAAAAGGAAAACATAAATTGTCAAAGTTCAAAGAATTATATTATTTTTGGATGATTTAAGTCGAGTCGTACTTTCGCTTTTTTCGTTCCTAAAACACAACAGCTTTAGCTTAAGAATTAAAAAAAAAACGACATGGCGTAAATTAGACACCAAATCCTACAGTTTGACGCCTCAACATTACTCGTATGTGTTCATTTTCCGAAGTGTCTTTTTATATTTAAGAATCGAGCAATAAATGTGACCGATAAAGTTTGTTTACAAACATTATTTTCCATTAAATAAATGAAATTTCGTTTCAGTGATATGGCTGGTGAGGGACTATCTAATAAAGATAATTGGGTAGTAGTTCTTGGTGAACACTATCAAGGTATAATGGACGGAACAGAACAGTTTCTTTACATCGATAAACTCGTCAAACATCCGGATTTTATTCGTAAGATAATACATGTAATTATGATCTATAGAACAATTGAGAACTTGACTAAAATATTGGTATAGCATATGATACATAATACCGTTTCTTGATAAGTAAAACAAAACTAGATTATTTGTTGTCCTTAATTAAATCGTTTATCGGATAAAATTGATGTAAAAAATCTAAAAACAGTGATCACTCGGAAGCATTAAAACAAAATTACATGAAAATTGCAGACTCTGTTTGATTGAGTCTGTGACAAAATAAACATTATATTTACAAAGACATATCATCATCAATTTGCATCTTGTTTCTAGCGTCAAACTGCAAATATTTTGTCTCTAAAGATATCAAAGTTTGATATATCTTTTCTATTTTTCAGTTTCATTTGATCATGCGATCCTAAATGATATTGTACTCCTTAAGTTGAACATACCAGTCGTGCTATCAGACTATGTGAACACTATATGTTTAGAACCAAACTACACAGTACCTGACGGAACACCGTGCTTAACAACTGGATGGGGACTTGTTGACGTCGGTAATATTTTTTATTTCTTCGGAGTTTTGCAAATAGTTTATATATTTTCCTTATAATTACATGTACTCTTCATAATCAATGTAGATCACTAACTCAAGCAGTGTAAGCTTATGAATTTGTAAAAAACATTTTAAATATTTCTGTCGGAGCGAGCCGTATACGTGTGACTAATATGATTTGATGTCAAGAACAGATCCAATATTACGGAATTTTCCTACATTTAATGAAGGCAGCACGACATATACTATTTTTTTTGAAAACTGATGTTATACATAAGCCTTTATAAAAGGGTACAGTCCGACTATTTTTAATCACGTTTTGCATGACCGTTATGACATAAACGTGTTTTACTAGTTCATGTGCATTTTACAAAGTATAATGATTATATATTGTAGAAGGCGTTGGTGTAGAGCTTCCTAACTCGGCGGAATTGAGGATTGTACCAAGAGATGAATGTAGAAATATTTATGAAAGTTTGCCGGATGACCACGAGGCGAAGCAATTCGTTTCTATTCAAGAGTCGGTGATATGCGCAAGAGCTGATCGAACTGGAGTAGACGCTTGCAAGGCAAGACTTGATTAAAAATATCATATGCCTCACATATAAAGCTTCGACACTGAACTCTTCGAGACATAGAGCAAAATTATATATGTCTGTCAGCAACTATATCATATAAAAATCATTTATTTTTTAAATACAATTTGCATTTATTGATGTAGATTTATTTGTGAATCTATACCAAGATGATATGATAATAAATATAGTTTAATCATCAATTTCAGGGCGATTCTGGCGGGCCACTAATTTGTTACCATAACGACCATTGGATACAGACGGGCGTTGTTTCAATTGGTTATCAGTGCGGGGATATAAGATACCCAGGTCTCTATACTAACGTGAACTACTTCTACGACTGGATAGAAAATACCATACACACAGACGTCGGGACATAAATATTCCAGCTGTATAAATGAAAAATCAAACATTCAACAATGTATTAAAGTATATATTGAAACAAAAGAAGACACACCTTTTCAATAGAAAATAAACTTAATAATACTTAACTAAAGGTAAATTGATCGACTAGTATGATTTAAGATAAACCATGTTTTAATTGTTAAAGACAAGAACTTATCTTCTTAGTTTATACTGCTATTTTTCTTTTCTCAGAACAAGCATTAATTGATTTATACCAATGGTACGATAATAGAACTACCACCCCTTTCATTTACACTTAAAAGAAAACATATTTGTCTAGCAATTTATTAAAACTTGCTTACTCATAAAGCGTTGTTTCTGGTTATTTCTTTGCAATATTACTTTAAACGTGTAATGATCTAGAATATCCAGAATAAAAAGACAGTTCTAATAATGTCTACTACGCGTTCACAAATTCACTGAGGTCAAATGAAATAACATTACATCTTAATACAATGACACAAGGTCTGTCTGTCTTTTACAACGAAAGAAATCAAGGCAAGATATTTTCTTCTTCCGCTATCAATCTAACACCTGTAACATAAGCATTTATGTATATAAAGTCAAACGTGACAATATAACAAAAATGCGACAAATTTGAATATTTTCGAATCATTCTGAATCAATCCACGTGCTGGTGAACATGACTAAGTGAAGTTCAAAATCCTTAGTGCAGATAGGTTACAGTGATAATTCAAGTTTTAAGTTCATTGACAAATCGATCACATGATAAGGCAAGATCATTGTGCATGAAGATATATCTTATACACATGTGCATTAAAGAAATCTTAAGACACAGTTTTTTTTCGTTTTTTTTTTTGTATAACAAAAACTGTTTTCTTTCTCATACAGAAAGCATATGGGAACGAAGAAAAAAGACAATTACAAGAAATTGTCAAAAGTTCTATAACTGCTATTCAATTTTATTATGATGTAAATAATGACTGTTCTCAGAAGTGGTCATTCTGCAACCTGGACACAAAAATAAATAGACGTACACGTACATGTCGTTTTCACTTTTTAACCTGGACACGGACACATACACACACGTGCATGTCGTGTTTATGGCGTTACTATACTCCTAGATTAGAGCAAGTCATACATACATGGATGTTATTGTTGTAACGAAGTTTTGTTACGGACGAGACATGAGGTAGAATAAACGATTTTCCGTAATGGCATGAAGCAAATGATAGAAAGTCAACAATGTTTAACGCCACATTACAATTACTATCATATCACCAAAATTAGAATTTCAGAATAAGTACAACTTACTCTGTATTGTTGTCTTGACAAAAGTAAGTCATTTACTTATTTCAAAACAAAGTATATACAATTTGTCTGAACACAAAGTTTTAATCAATACATCTATTGTACACACCTAAAATATTAAACCCTATATAGACAATGAAAACAGCCCGATTGTTTGTCGGGAACGATGAGCGATAGCAGTTACAAAAGACCAAGTATTTCATTTATGTAGAAAAGAAATAGTTTAAGATGGAGTAAGATCTTGAAAATCAACCTTGTACCTAATGCTCGTTCTTCATTCTCCGCTTATAAGTCTTAAATAAGTCGTGCCCTGTGCAATGAAACATTGTCATTAGGCAAGGAAATATTTGTCATACTTTTGCTCAGACGCCTTGACGATATCATGTATTCAACGTTTGTTACAAATATTTGCACAAGTGTTTCACTAGCGGCGACATTTCTTCCTCTAGGTACAATAACACTGACAGGAGGACCATGTCTAAGATATAATTTCTAATACACAACCTTCAACACAGTTATAATATCTCGGACAATGACTGGTCTACAAGCTTAAGATAGTAAACTATACCTAAATAAAACCTTTGCGAGTTTGTTCCCAGTGATTCACACAGTAATAGGTTCAGAGAATCGTTTTTCGGCGTATGTACAGTACAGATGCAAATAAAACAAGAACTGCTTAGCTTTTTGACTCATCCTTAATTAAAGAGAAGTACTTTATAGGAGACCTTAGAAAAATATTATACTCATTCCGAGAGTATTCTATTTTTTAATGTGAGAGTGAATTTTAGCACGTTCTTCTATGACTACGCATTCCCGGCCATATTTACACGTGGTGTAATGTATAAAAATATTTCAAATTGCATTAACTCTATCGGTATAAATAGTTTTCTTTAAAACTTCATGCATCTGAAGCTCTATGAAATGCTTTTAATTGGAAAGTCGGTTTAGTGTTAACACTACATTGGCCGTTTCAGACTTTAGTGAACTTGCATTAATTCTGTAACACCTTTGTATAAATTCTGTAACACCCCTCGAATAAATTCTGTAACACTTGTATAAATTTTGTAACACCCCTCGAATAAATTCTGTAACACCCCTCGTATAAATTCTGTAACACCCCTCGTATAAATTCAGAGAACTTCGTCACTCACCTCTCTAGAATTAATTTGGAATAGGAAGGGTCCCTTATTTACATGTACCTATACCAACAATTTTATTACCTACAACCATGAATAAATAAATAAATAAATAAAAATATTTGTTTATAAATTTATTCATTTTTTTTCATTACGAATTCATATAAAAATAGATATAGATCTATACTTATCACATTCATTGAATAAATCATAATTATATATATTGTAATACAATGGTATAAAAATCTCAAGTTTAAATAATCTAACACCACATACTAACAGACTATCTGAATCTTTACTTCCAACTTTTAATACACAATGCGTATTCAATACCTTTAACAAAATATATGTAGAATGAACTTACAAATTTAAAAATCTGTAATAGGAATTTTTATAAATAAAATAGTTGCATCAAATATTGCAAAATATTCAGTATATGTAATACATATATTTTCAAATATGATTGCATACACATGTAAAAATCTGTTTCTGGTGATAAATATTCATAAAAAGATTGGATACTTAAATATGGGTATAATTAAAGCACTCTATACAGCTGAACGCCATGCCCCGCATGGCAGAAGAAAAGGTTTGGCGGATAGAACGTGAAGATGTTAAGATCAAAGTTCTTTCTTTCTTTTTTTCCGATAAACAGACGTGTAAGAAAATAAAATAAAATGTTACATCAATTTTATAATACCTTAAAAATTATACAGTAATGCTTTACGTTCTACGCATGATTGTCATTATAATCTTATTATAAACAATGTTTTAAAATTTACAATGTCTTTTTGATAATGATAACATACAACCTAATACAAAAGACGTGTTCTATCATGCACTATTTTGTATGCCATCACAAAAAATAATAAAATGTGTCGCCACTTTTTGACATAATTCATATATACAGGCATTTTCCAAAAAAACTTGTATTAAAAATATTCATCAAGACTTTACAGTATTTATTTGAAATAAATTAATGATTGAATGAATTAATGTATAATAATACTTAACCTAATCTTACGAATGTGTTGACAAATTTTATCATGATATTGATCCCTTTTTAATTTCAACAAAGCAAACTATTGATTAATATTTATGGCCAAAAACTGGCCCAATGTAGAAAGAATATTTACATGAAACTACATTCACTGTCTTTGTCACTTGATAACCATTAATTGGCATAATTGGTAAACCCACTTAAATTTAAGCATCACCATTATTAGCAAGTTTATAAATAAACATGAATCCATTACTCATGACGTTAAAATCTTGATATAACACTGTCATATGAGATAAACAATTTAATCAAACATTGTCTATCTATAGAAGACAGAGTGTGTATTATGACACTGACACCAGATTTGAGATTATGTAATAATCAATTACTCTTCAGTGTAAAATAATAATATCTTGCCATGATATAATTGAGAATGAGAATCTAAAGTGTTTATCAATTATCTACTTGAATATTAACCTCAGTTCTGCATTAAGAACAATTAACAAATACAATCAATTAGTTCAACAGTGTTCTGACACGGTGTCTATTCATAAAAAAAACTTATAAGGTGTTGTTGTTTATGATGTTCTGAGTGGGTATTGTTTTTTTATGGTTATGTTAGGGGTTTGTTTGTTCTTTATTGTGATGTGAATGGTATTGTCTGTTGTTAATGGTGATCTAATGTGTCTTGTTTGTTGTTTATGGTGATATTAGGTGTCTTGTATGTTGTTAATGGTGATCTTAGGTGTCTTGTTTGTTGTTTATGGTGATCTGAAGAGTCTTGTTTGTTGTTTACGGTTATCTGAGAGAACTTGTTTGTTGTTTATGGTGATCTGAAGGGTCTTGTTTGTTGTTTATGGTGACCTGAGAGGTCTTGTTGTTGGAAGTTAAAGTTGTATGTATCAGGAAGACCTATATGTGACTGTTTGTACTCGTCAGTCCATTGGAATGGTTTCAGACCTGTCCCAGGGTGGGGCCATTGATTATATCTGCTGTCATCTCTAGAGCCATCTTATAATTTGCTACCTGTATAATGATAGAAGTACTTTGTTAGAGATACTTCCACAGTTAAAGTCATGCATATTGTTTTTTAAACTTTATATGGTCTAATAAATCCTGCAAATCCATTCATCACCTCTAAAAATGCTCTAAATCTCCTCCAAGTATATGAATCTGCTGTTTAGAATACGAATCAAGCTATCAATGGGTTATATATTAATGATTTCACAGAATAAATACTAATGTAAATTGCTTTTAAGACTTTTTGGCCATTACTATCCAACTAATATAATTTTTTTCCATTTCCATAACCATGGCAACCACAATCTAATTTTTCTCTAGTATTAATCTTCATATGATTCTTTGTCCATATACCATATCATCATGAATCATCAACCTAGCATTTATATGCTTAGAGTTATGGCTGAGTTCAGTTTTGTTCAGTTTTCATTGGTTTTCACCATTTCTAGAACCACAGCAGTCACAAAGAATATGCATTATCTCCATATGGTAGGATCCAGATTTCATGTACAGAATGAAATGGTAGGGGACTTACTAGCTGGACAGCATCCTGATATGAATAATGAAGGATTTCAAAGTATGTGGCGAGATTCACAAACCTATAATGATAGGTTACTATTGTTCCAAAAATCATAATAACAACCATGTAAACTAACCTTGGTATCATAGCAACCAAATGGTCCAGGTGAACTCTTCCTTAGATCTCCTCGGCAACATATAGCATTACAAGAATCCCCCTCAGAATATGGATCTTCTGTGTAATCTATATATCACAGAGTATATTAAAGATATAGTTAGTTATTAAACATGGAAAATAAAGGATTAAAATTACTTTATATATTTCTTGTATAACTTACTTTGAAATTACCTGTTGATATTGTTTACATAATGGTATTGTTAAAGTGACTAGAAGTATAAAGATATACAAACAAATGTTGTCATAACAAAATTTATCCTGCTACTGTATATATTATCAGCTGGATAAAGCGTTGCTGGATAAACTTATCTTTCTCCAGTCATTATGTCATATGATGATGTCACATGATTAGCAGCAAAACAAACAAGAGCCGGTTAAACCGGGTGATGCTCCCCGCATAGGTTTTGGACACAGGAAGGTATACCTCGTGAGTGTCAGAGTTATGTCACAGACAAAGTTCAAAGTGTAAAAACAAGGTAGCAACCAAAATGTTGCGCGTGACACGTCGTCTCAATATATGGTGATAATTTCTGTGAAATTGTTGTAAAATCCGACTCTGAATAACAAAGTTATGGGCAGGACACGATTTTGCTGCAAGGTCATGCTGTGACCTTGACCTTCAAGGTAGCGACCCAAATGTTGCGCCCAACACGTCGTCTCAATATATGGTGATCATTTCTGTAAAATAGTTGTAAAATTCGATTTCAAATGATTAAGTTATGGTCCGGACACGATTTTGCTGCAAGGTCATGCTGTGACCTTGACCTTCAAGGTAGGGACCCAAATGTTGCGTGCGACACATCGTCTCAATATGGTGATAATTTCTGTGAAATAGTTGTAAAATCAGACTTCAAATAATGAAGTTATGGGCCGGACACAAATTCGGGACGTACGTACATACAGACGGACGGACAACCGGCTTCTATCAGGTGTATAATAAAACCATTTAAATAAACTAAAAACATGATGAAAAGCAGGATAAATCAAATACATGATTAATGTCAGGATAGGAGACGGTTTATCCGGTTCGCTGCAAAAGCTTGCCAAGATACACTTTCTCACTCACCAGATAAACCTTCTCCATCCTGATATCAACCATGTATTCTCTATATCTTTCAAGAAGCCAGAAAACCATTCATATACTTCAATATTACCTACCATTATATCTCATTATATTTTTCATGGTTGCCATATCCTTTACACTGGCCTGATCCCGACGGAAAATCTTTGCTCTTGGTGCCAGCTGATAAGAGAAATCTGTTCCATGTTGCTTTACAAAGTCTGGATAACCACTCATATTGTACACTTTCTCAAAGTATGGAACATTATAAGATGGCCAGTATCCTTAAAATATAGGTCACAACAAATGAAATATTGTGCAACATAAATTGATATGGGGGGTTAACAGTTTATTTATTTGATTTAACATGTATTACCAAAAGTCTGACCTAGGTATGTATGAAATATTCTTATAAAATTGAACTTATGTGATATAGTTAAAAGGTCTTTTAAAGTATATAGAAAGTTATTTTAAAGGTGAATGTTATAATGTACATGGCTACATTTATCACATGAAACTTACTAAATGTTACTAAATAAATATATAAGAAATATTTTACCTGTATTATTTGATAATGTAAAACATATTTTGTTTGAATTAAAAAAAAAAGTGTTACGTACTTGGTTTAATTCTATAATATAAAATAAAAGCTTTTATGAAGATATCCTTTACAGTATTTGCAAGTCATATAATGGAAATCATCATCATAATCACAACCAGCATCATCATCATTTCTCTCATCATCAGCATCCTTGTTCCAGCAATTCTTTTTATAATTATCATTAATATAACATCTTGATGTAAAAAAAGATTTTTTTCATATTTGAAACATTTTGCATAATAAAAATGATTTATTTTAAGAAAACAAGGTGAGGGAATGCTACAAAATTTTGCACACAAGTTATAAGAAGAGACCTACATGCAATGGTACATAAAATTTTTTCCAGCTCCTTCATGTCGTAAAATCTCAGTAGAGTCCCTTTAACATTAGAAACAATCCTAAACATAATGTTATACTAACCAGTTCTGAGTATAGGTGTAGTATCACCATACTCAACAAGCCCGGGGATCTGTTCAACCACCCACAGAGCTCCATCATGGATGTTCCTTTCTAAGTCTATCTTCCTCAAGTCTAATATCATATACTGGTTGTTGTACGTTCCTATAAGGCAATGAAATAATTATCAATAAAATGAAATGATTATCAATAACAGACTTTTCTTTTTCAAAAAAAAAAAAAAAAACCTAACATTTTTTTTTGTGTCAGTTGGCAAAGGAACAAAACACTTTCATTGAAAAGATAAACAAGAGCAATGCCATGTTAACAATCATCTGATTATAACAAATTTTCATAACATTAAAAAAGAGCATAATTCAAAAACATATTGCTAACAAGATAATGCCCCTTGTGGAACAACTGGTTTTTTGTCATGATAAATTGCTAAAACAGTTTGAAATCATCTTACTTAATAGGAAATTACGACCAAAATTGTAGTTAAAAAGGGGTATAACTCCAAAAATATTTCTTTCAGAAAAAGTCCCTTTTCTGACAACTGTACTATGTCATTATAAACAAGTATTTTAAGTTTTATTTTGATACCAATTATAGTTTTGAATTATTCTACTTAAGAGGTAATTTTGACAATAATTATATGCTAAAATTGGACATAACTCCTAAAATATTGCTTTCCTAAAGCTACAACTCATCATAATGATTAACAGATACTCAAATGTTCATGTTGCTACCTTAAAATTGTTTGAGAAATGAGCTACATTAAAGTTTTTACACTATGACGACAACAATGATGCAGTGATTATTACAGATCAACTTTTTCTTTAAAACAGACAAGCTAAAAATCATATTCAAGTATAACATTCAACAATAATGAATAACTGGGTTGAATCACTCTAAGTAAAATATAGTAGAATAAGCAGATAACAACATTGAATAAGTTTCAACAGTTCAATACAAGTTACTTCCCTTATATAAAACATAGGAATTGACATTATTAAATGTGGATTCCATAGAAAACAGTATGAAATATGCCACAGGCCAGGTATGTTTTTATACAATTATATTCTGATCATATAATTATACAAACCTGAATTATTCTCTGAGAATATGGTTGCCCACTCCTCACCATCATGTGCCATCATGTTGGCTAGTCGAACCCTGTGCCAGGCGAGGAGTGACTGAGGTGTGACTAGAGAGTATAATGACGTGTTGAAGACATTGTTGGTTGTTTGTAACATTATCAACTTACTGCTCATCTGGTAAAAATCATCCAGTGACTCCAAGAACCCTACAATAATATGATTCAAAGGCTTACATCTGCTACAACATCTATTTTTTATTACCCCTCACTTTTTTCGTAATATTAATTTCCCATAGGCCTCTGGGAGTTATTTTTACTTTTAATGCAAGTGTATCACGTGACAAAGAATTTTGTACTGTTACATAGGTAACAGTATTTTTTAACAGTATAAAATCTGGTCACGTGGTCTATTTTCTAAATAAAATGAAATAAAATGGCCGCCATTTTTTTTCTCGATTCATTCTTATTTTAGACGTTAAACCCCGATCAATTTCTTCTCTGAAGTAACTATGACACCCATAAAATTTAGTTGTTTGCACCCTGGTCACCTGGTGTGCTTTTCGCGTATAAAATATCTTTTTACTTTTTTTAAAAGCAAACAAAGAAATGTTTGAACAAAATCTTAACATTTCCTTTTTATAAAATTAATCGGTCTGTCTTGTCACATTAGTTTTGTCTATATATTTTGTATATATAAATATACTAATTGATATATATATATAAATAGAAACACACAATTCTATAAAATGAAAATTCTATAAATAGAAACACACAATTCTATAAATAGAAAATTCTATAAATAGATACACGTGGTGGAGTCACTTGGTGTCACATGGTGGTGTCACGTGGTGGTGTCACGTGGTGGTGTCATGTGGTGGTGTCACGTGGTGGAGTCACATGGTGGAGCCATGTGGTGGAGTCACGTGGTGGATTTACGTGGTGAAGTCATGTGGTGGTTTCACGTGTAGGTGTCACGTGGTGGATTAAGATGGTAGAGACATGTGGTGGAGTCACTTGGTGGTGACATGTGGTGACATGTGGTGGTGACGTGGTGGTGACACATGGTGGTGACACGTGGTGGTGACACGTGGTGGTGTCACATGGTGGTGTCACATGGTGGTTTCACGTGGTGGTGTCACATGATGGTGTCACATGGTGGAGTCACGTGGTGGTGTCATGTGTTGACACCTGGTGGTTGAGTCATGTGGAGTCACATGGTGAAGTCATGTGGTGTCATGTGGTGTAGTAACGAGGTGGTGTCACGTGGTGTCATGATAAACAACAAGGTCTTGTTCTTAAGTATGTTCTGTTATAATATGAAGTTGATCCCTTCAATAATAGCAAAGTTACAGCCAGTTACAGCCAAAAGAATCAAAATTTCAATAATTTGAACTTCAAAGTCAAGGTCATTAATGAGTGAAGGTCAAGGTCTGTCTGGTTATTTTTAAGGGTTATCCTTGAAAATTATTATGTTCAAGTTTGAGGACAATCCATTCAAAAATAACAAAGTTACAGCCAATAATAGCCAAAAAAATGAAAATTTCAATAATTTGACCTTCAAAGTCAAGGTCATTTATGAGTGAAGGTCAAGGTCTGTCTGGTTATTTTTAAGGGATATCCTTGAAGATTATTATGTTCAAGTTTGAAGACAATCCATTCAAAAATAACAAAGTTACAGCCAATAACAGCATGAACAAGCAAAATTTGGACATTTAACCTTGAAGGTCAAGGTCATTTATGGATGAAGGTCAAGGTCAGTGTGTTCTACTGAAAGGTCTTGTCCCAAAGGTTGTTGTGGCCAAGTATGAAGACAATACACCAAGAAATAAAAAAGTTATGATCCAGGTACAAGTTTGCGGACGGCAACGGCAACGCCGCCGCCAAGTATACCTGGTTAAATAGAGAAAACAAGTTTACCTGGTTAACTACAGAAAACAAGTATACCTGGTTAACTACAAGAAACAAGTTTACCTGCTTAACTAGAGAAAACACGTATACCTAGGTAACTAGAGAAAACAAGTATACCTGGGTAACTACAGAAAACAAGTATACCTGCTTAACTAGAGAAAACAAGTATACATGTACTTGGATAATAAGAGAAAACAAGAATACCTGGGTAACTAGAGAAAACAAGCAATTATCATAGTATTGCAAGCAATCCATAAGTCCCCTACCAGTTAGAACCCCAGCAACATTCTGAAGGGCCATTGGCCATTCACTTATGTTAATTTGTTGAAAAAATTCTTTAAAAGTGATCACAGGAAACAGTTTTTTATGTACAGACAGACAGACGGACTGAAGGACACTCTAAAGTTATTTTTTTAACATCCCTGTTATCAAAATATAACATTTTTAAAAGCAAAATTTTTAAAAAGGAGATAACTCTTGAAACAAGAGGGCCATGGTGGCCCTGAGGTCGCTCACCTGTATATAGCCCCCCCCCCCCCCCCCCCCCCCCCCCCCCCCCCCGGCCAATTTTTACCAAAGGCTTTTATTTGTTTATTTGAACAGACTTGGTAGACACCCATAAGAAGATGTTTCATGCTAAACATCTAAGTTCTAGCTCATTGGGTTTTTTAAAAGAAGATTTTTTAAGTTTTTTACTATACACATATAGTTAAAAACAATGACCCCCTGGGGCAGGGCCAGTTTTGACCCCTAGACTTTTATTTGAACAAACTTTGTAGATATTTACTTAAAGATATTTCATGCTTAATATCTAAACTCTAGCTATTTGGTTTTTTTCAAAGAAGATTTTTAAGTTTTTGCTATACACATATAAGGAAAATCAATGACCCCCGGGGCGGGCCAGTTTTGACCCCAGGGCTTTTATTTGAACATACTTGGTATACACCCATTAGAACATGTTTCATGCTAAATATCTTAGCTCTAGCTCTTTGGGTTCTTTAAAAGAAGATTTTTTAAGTTTTTACTATATGCATATAGGGAAAATCAATGACCCCCTGGGGCGGGGCCAATTTTGACCCCAGGGCTTTTATTTGAACAAACTTGGTAGACACTTACTAGAAGATGTTTCATGCCAAATATCTTAGCTCTAGCTCTTTGGGTTCTGTAAAAGGAGATTTTTTTAAGTTTTTACTATATGCATATAGGGAAAATCTATGACCACCTGGGGCAGGGCCAATTTTAACCTCAGGGCTTTTATTTGAACAAACTTGGTAGACACTTATTAGAAGATGTTTCATGCTTAATATCTAAGCTCTAGCTCTTACGGTTCTTTACAAGAAGATTTTTTAAGTTTTTACTATATGCATAAAGGGAAAATCAATGACCCCCCGGGGCGGGGCCAATTTTGACCCAGGGCTTTTATTTGAACAAACTTTGGTAGACACTCCACTAGAAGATGTTTCATGCCAAATATCTTAGCTCTAGCTCTTTGGGTTCTTTAAAAGAAGATTTTTTAAGTTTTTACTATATGCATATAGGGAAATCAATGACCCCCTGGGGCGGGGCCAATTTTGACCCCAGGGCTTTTATTTGAACAAACTTGGTAGACACTCACTAGAAGATGTTTCATGCCAAATATCTTAGCTCTAGCTTTTTGGGTTCTTTAAAAGAAGATTTTTTAAGTTTTTACTATATGCATATAGGGAAAATCTATGACCACCTGGGGCAGGGCCAATTTTAACCTCAGGGCTTTTATTTGAACAAACTTGGTAGACACTTATTAGAAGATGTTTCATGCTTAATATCTAAGCTCTAGCTCTTACGGTTCTTTACAAGAAGATTTTTTAAGTTTTTACTATATGCATAAAGGGAAAATCAATGACCCCCCGGGGCGGGGCCAATTTTGACCCCAGGGCTTTTATTTGAACAAACTTGGTAGACACTCACTAGAAGATGTTTCATGCCAAATATCTTAGCTCTAGCTCTTTGGGTTCTTTAAAAGAAGATTTTTTAAGTTTTTACTATATGCATATAGGGAAATCAATGACCCCCTGGGGCGGGGCCAATTTTGACCCCAGGGCTTTTATTTGAACAAACTTGGTAGACACTCACTAGAAGATGTTTCATGCCAAATATCTTAGCTCTAGCTTTTTGGGTTCTTTAAAAGAAGATTTTTTAAGTTTTTACTATATGCATATAGGGAAAATCTATGACCCCCTGGGGCGGGGCCAATTTTGACCCCAGGGCTTTTATTTGAACAAACTTGGTAGACACTTACTAGAAGATGTTTCATGCCAAATATCTAAGCTCTAGCTCTTAGGGTTGTTTAAAAGAAGATATTTAAAGATTTTTCTTTCGGTTGCCATGGCAACCAGAGTTCTGCATGGAATTAAATTCTTTGAACAATTTTTAAAGGTGACCACCAAAGGAACATTCCTGTGAAGTTTGGATGAAATTGGCTCAGCGGTTTTTGAGGAGATGTCATTTAAAGCAAAAGTTTATGGACGGACGCCGGACAGACGCCGGACGAAAAGCGATCACAAAAGCTCACCCTGTCACTTTGTGACAGGTGAGCTAATAAAGATGCAAGATGTCATACATGATGTGAGTGTAACAAAGAACAATTAGTAATGAAGGTATGAATAATGAATGTTTATTTTGAATTTGAAGTAAATGAAAGTTAAAAGAACGAATAGGAAAAATTAAAAGTTTAAGGAGGAGATTATTCTGGAAATATGGATGCTAGATTTATAAACCTTGTCATAATTATTATTATGATGTGGGAGTTTGAAGAAAATCCTATCATGATTGAAGAAGTTGGAGTAAAAATTAACAATTTCTCAAAGTTCAAGTTCAAAAGGGGCATAATTCTGGAAATAGTCTTGCTAGAGTATTGAACTTTCTCACAAAAGTTGAGTGATAATAAGAAACATTTATTATATACTTTTAAATGAAATATTGAGAAATATTGATGAAATAAAATGCGTATTTTCATTTTCCGTATTTTCACTGTAAAAATTTATTTTTCACTGCAGTGAAACATATTTTCCGTATTTTCACTGGTGTCTTGCCGGACTACTTTCTTTTAAATTCTACCAGTACACAAAATTTAAGCGAAAGTTTTTCAAATTTTATCGCAAAAAAAGAGAAAAATGTACATAATAAACAGAAAATTCAAGTACTACCGCCACTCATGAAATATTTATTTTCATACCACTCGATGAAAATAAATCATGTATTTATAGAAAAAACTTGAATATCCTCTATTTATATGAAGATTGAAGTAGATACATTCAGAA